GGAGCGGTAACTTGCAGTTGTGTCCAGGCCCAGTTTGGTGATAACTAGCTCCTCTGGCCATCCATTTCTTGTAAAATGTGAGTTTTGTGCTCCTCCAGCCTAAAATAGCACTGTCCACTGCTCCCCAGCCAGCTGGAGGGGAGTTACAGCCAGGGGGAGGGAGGGAGGGAGGGAAGAAGATCCCATCTGCAAAGCAGGGAGCGGGAGGCTTGTTGAGAGCCGGAAGAAAAGGAGATGTAGCGTCTCTAAATATACCTCCAGAGAATCAAGAGAGACATTGAAAGATGGGATAGTAAAAGCCACTTGGAAAGAGGGAAGAGGGGGGAAAAAAGGCCTAGAGGAGGGCATAAAGGCTGCTGATGGGAATTGGGAGCGGGCATTACCGAGAAGACTTCCTTCTAATTCATCTTCCAAGCTCTGTGCCAAAACAGCATTTGGCATGGTTCACAGGGAGCAATTGTGTGATAATGAACCCTAAGGTGTCCCTTAATTGAAGACTGAGTATTACAGATTGTGCCAATAGTCGTAAATGGCACAGGATTGTGGGAGGATGCATTTTCTTAAATGTATCTGTAAGTACAGATTAGTGAGTCTCCCCAGTGAAATACCCATACTATAAATTATGGAAATATCTCTTTCTGATGCAACCTTTTATTGAGGGGGTGGGGCAGCAAAAGAAATAGTTTGCAAGCCTTTGAAATTTGGCCTGTCATTAAGATGGTGCCTGCAAAGCTGGGTTTTCATCAGCAGTCTGGTGTCCTGGAAGGCTAAAGTGCTTGAAACGTTACCAAGTTCAGCAATTTGTTTTCCATTATTGCTGCCTACTCGGGGCGGAGGGGCTGCAGCCATTAAACTGTTGTGAGTCCATGCTGGGCTGGAGAGGGGCAGGACAGGAGGCGAAGAACTGCCTCGGCACCTCACGAGGAGCTGGTGAGCTCTGGGTTCCTCCAAACCCTGCTCCAGCACTGCTGCCACCCCAGTCTCTGGCTGCCAGGGGGTGTTGGGCAGGGGTGTGATGGTCAGACCCTCCCCTGGGCACCTTGTGTCTCCTGCCTCAGGTGGGTTGGGCAGTCCAGAAGCTGCTGTGGTGCCTTCAAGCCAAGTCTGTGGCCATTAAAAGAAAAACCAAGTCTCCTGCTCAGCTCTGGGCAAGTTTAATCCTGGAATAAAGTGGATTAAGCACTGATTTAAGCGTTAGTTTTCTCAGCAGGGAGGGTTCGTTTGCCCCTTGGGCAGGAGCGTTGGACACCGCGAGGTGCAGGGCAGGTCCCCCGGGCACTGTGTCAGAGCCAGCACGTGGGCCGTGTTGAGGGCTTTGAGCTCTGCGGACAGTGGTGGGGACAGGGCACCCTTTTCCTCCTCGCAGGGGGCCGGCGCCTGGCGTGGGGCTGTGCCCAGGTGCTCATCCTGGGGGACAGAGAGGAACAACTGCCAGGAGAGCTTCGGTTTGGGGAGCGCGGCGTTAAAAGCCGTCCCAGGTGAGTGCCCCGGAGGGAGGTCCCTCGCCCCGGCTTCTTGGCTCCTGCTCTTTCCTACCTCCTACAAATAACGTTCCTTCCTTCAAGCCTGATCCCTTTCCCAAAGCTTCGGCACAGACACACGATGTCTTCACCCCCCTCCATGAATCCATCACAGTTAATATTTAGCAGCATGTCTGTCACGAGAGGACACGGGTGTCTCGGCCCCGTGTCCCACGAACTGCCGGGGCTGTGCGGCACCTGCCCCGCTCTTCGGGCACAGACTCTTATTTCTAAGTACAAATTTACTGCGGCCCTTCTGCAAACCACTTCTGAGCAGCGGCCTGAGAAAGCAGGTCACTAAAGCACCTCGTTGGGTTCACGGTGACCCTGATGCTCTCCTGTGCTCTATATTCGGTGTGTCTGGCCAGGCAAAGGCTCTTTTGGGAGCAGAAGGGAGACTTCAAGATAGTCTAAAATACTTTCTTGAATTTTGCATGATTTGAGAACAAACTACATCACAGACATTGCAAGTTAAACCAAAATGATTATTGAAAGAGACAAGCAGGCGTGGGACTTTTTTTTTTTCTTCCCCAAGTATTAAATATTTAATTGCATCAGAGCAACAGTGTATTTACAGTAAGCTGGGTGGGTGACGAGCGGCGTGGCCGGAGGGATTGCTCGTGGTATTTTAATGTGAAGCTTTTTGACATGATGTGGATGTTCACGAGGTCCCACCTGCGCTGCTGCTTCTCCTGCAAACCCCCTTGGTTCATCTCACTCCTGGGGGATTTCTGGGGCTGTTGGTGCTTGTAGGGTTGTGGCACAGGGTGAGGAATTGGGATTTTATGGTGACAGATTGTTCCTATGCAGGTAAAGGTGTGGGTGTATCCTGTCAAGCAGCACAGGATTTTTATTCTGTGTTTTATTCTGTGTAAGGATTTAGCCTTCATTTGGTTGGTTTAGAGGTTTTTACCCCTGGATTTGCTGTGAGTAGCAGTGGTGCAGGGCATCCATCTCTGACAGGGTGTTTCTCTGCTCTCTTAGGGCTGGAAAAGACACAAAAGGAATTTTCCACAATGTTTCATGCTGGAAATCAGCAGAAACTAGAGTTCTGTGATATGAAGATGAGTTGAAATAGCTACAGCTCCCTGGTCTTTTGGTGAGAAGAGACAGCAGCCCCCGGAGCTGAGAGCAGCGAGCGAGTGGGCACTGAGCCCCCATCCTTGTCTTGGCGGCACCTTGGCAGGTCCTGGGGGTGAAGGGGGGTGGCAGGGAGGGACCAGCCACCCCTGGGATGAGGGAGATGGGGCAGAGGGTGCCCAGGTCCCCCCTGTCCCCTTCTTTCAGGGCTGGGGCACCATGTTCAAGGCAGGTGACCCAAAAAAGCATCTCTGGGATTGACATAGGGGCAGGTACCAACAGCACCCTCAGATTATCTTCCCACCGTGCCCCTTATCACTCGAGGAAATCCTATTTCAAGGCCGCTATAAAGAAGCCTCTGATCTTTGCAGAGGCCGGCTCACTCCCCTTTAATCCTGGCTGGGCCGGGGTGCAGGTGCCGCAGTCCCGGGGGATTAGACGGTCCCTTCCCTTTGTGTGAGCCGTCACTCAGCAGCGGCCGTGCCCCGGTGAGCCGCACCGACCGGCGGGGCTCCGTGTTTGGGCCATTCACCGGGGAATATTAAACTCCGCCGCCGTGGAGTCATTACACGGGGAGGCAGGGGCCGCCGCTCTGTTTGTTTTGGAGAGAATAGGGCCGGCAAAGGGCAGGAGCCATGGGAGGGCTCGTCTCTCCCGCCTGCCTCCTCAGCCCCATGGCTGGGGTCACCTGGCTGCGGGGCAGCCCCGCTCCCAGCACCCACCCTGCCCTCCGCCTCAGCCTCCTCCAGCGTGCCTGGGCCCCCCCAGGGCCAGGGGACCTTGCCTGCCTGCGGTCTGGGGAGGCTGTGGCTGGACACTTGGATCCCGGCCCTGCCCAGCCTTGGCTGCCATCTCCCCAGGACGGCTCCTGCCATCCCCACCGCAGCCAGCCCCTGGGTACGGCAACTGCTGGAGCAGCACAGCCAGCAAGGCCCCAGCCCAGCCCTTGTGGGGAGCAGAGAGGGGCAGGAGGGAGCAACGGGGCTCAAACACACACACACCCCCTCTCCCCCTGGGTAGCTCGCCCTGGCCTGGGCACTGGCCCTCTCCAGGCTGGTGTCTCAGTGCAGTTGGTAGCGTGGGTCCCAGTCCAACAGCTGGAGCTGCTGCTGCAGGAGAGGGGGTGATGGGATGTGATTGTCCCATCCCCAGGTCACTCACAGAGGGGACAAAAAGGTGCAGAGATTTTCCTGCTTCTGTAGGCCAAATCCCGCCTCGCTCCATCCCAGCCGGTGCTGTCAGGGAGGAGCCTCCAACAGTGGGGAGCACCTTTGGCACCCAGCCTGGGTGCAGAGACCACAGGCACGAGGGCAAGCGCGCAGGGGCTGTTCCTGGTCCCACAGCCTGCGCTCGGCCTCGCCAGGACCCCTGGGAGCACCCAGCCACTTCCAGGAGGTTGAACGCCCCCAGTGCCTCATTCACCCACAGCCAACACATTGGCTTGTGGGCAAAAAAGCCATCGTGAGGCTCTTTTACCCTCAGTGCTGGGGCTGCCTCAGCGGGCACTGGCATCCAGCCGCCCCGTGCCACCGGCCCGGCTCGCCAAGCCGCAGCACCGTGGAGGCGGCCAAGGACTTACCGCCGCAATTTGCCACAGTCATGTTTCATTTCGAGGCTGCCTGAGCCCTGCAAAGCAGTTGGATGCAGCCAGGAAGGTGATTTTATTTTTTTCCTCCTGTTTGTTTTGTGCACTGGTGACCCCCTCGCCAAAATTATCCTGGATATACTACTTAAAATAAAGGCAAGGGAAGAAAAAAAAAAAAGGCAAGAAAGCAAGCGAGAGTGGAGAGGAGAGCACTCAACATCTCTGCTCAGCTCCGCGGCCTCCCACAGAGTGAAATGGAGGCAAATAATGCCCTAAAGCTCCTTTTCCGAGCAGTGCAATCAGCCCGCCTGGTTCGGAGGGGCTGCAGCACTGTGCCAGAGCGCTCGCCGAGAGGGTGATGGCTTCACCGCACCCAACCCCTCCCTGCCCGGAGCTGCTGGGCACCCCCCAAGGGGCTGGCACCGCTCAGGGGCACCCCAAACCCTCCCCGCTGCTCCTGGCCCCTGCAGAGGAGAGCAGGGACAGAGTCTGGAGGGGGACAAGGCTCCGGCCAGCTCCGTCCCGTGGATGTGGCACCTTGGGGACAGCCGCTCTACTCCTTTTTACCCCCGAGGAGGTGCCAGAGCGTTCTCCGCACCACCCACCTGCCCGTGCCCTTGCTGGTACGGGGAGGGGGGACGCTGGGGGCTTCCCCGGAGCAAGCGGTGCACCCATGCAGACCCCCCCTCGGTGCCCCAGGCCAGCTGCAGCCCCGTCGGCCCATGACGAAGTGCCCCAAGTGATGGGGCCGGGGTGCTGCGTGGGCCCCGGGGGTGAGTGCAGGCGCAGGAGGGGTCTCGCTCTGTGAAGGTGACATGGGGACTAGCGAGGGACCCCGTGGCGGGGCGGGGGGCAGCCAGCCCACCGGCCCCCCAGCCCGGGCTCAGTCCCTGCTCTGGGGCGGGGTGGGAGCGCTGCCGGGCGCAGGTAACAGTTGGGCACATTCCCATAACCGAGTGCCGCCAACTGCGACGGCGGCAGGGCCGGAGCCCCCTCTCCAGCGCCGCTGTTTGCTTTGCAGCCTCCTTAGCCCCTATTGAGGCTTTTCAGCTCCGGCCCCTTCAGGGGGTTTAAGTAGGTAAAACCTGAGGAAGAGGCTATTTTCCTCCCTCCCTTTTGAGCCCTGCCTTGTGCCCAAAAGGCCCCCTTGTTTCACGCGTGCCAGTCACCTGGCTGGGCCCCCAGCCCCTTTCTCTCCCAGCCTCCCCTTTCTTTCTCCTTTCTCTCTTTTGACTTTTCCAGGAGCCCTCGCTCTCCAAACGAGCTTCAGATTGGATCCAGATTGAGGTCCCTTTGTCTTTCAAGGGTTGTACTAAGCTAATTAAATGTGATCCCAACAAATAAACGCAGATCTCCCCATTACATTCAGGCCTGCCTTTCAGGCAGCACCGGGCGGCCCCTCGCCCCCGCCCGCTGCGCACAGGGTCCCCCTCATTGAGTCCTGGCCATTGAAAGCACTGCCAGGATTTCTTTTGTGCCGGGGGTCTCCGAGCCCTTTTTCCATCAGAAAAGACCCCCAAACAGCAGCTCGGGCCTTTGTGAGTTTGCAAGCAAACGCCAAAGAAAAGCCCCCTGAATGCTTTAATAAATGACACATTTAGCAACTTCGGAGGCGCCTGGCTCCTGCGGCAGCCGCAGGGGTGCAACGATCCCTCCTGCCCCCCTCTTCCCTCCGGCTCCCGGGGCATTTGCAGCCCGGGGAGGTGCGGGGGAAGCGGCCAAAGCCCCTCGGCTCCCGGCAGGGCTCTGGGGGCCGCTGCCCCGTCCCCCGGCGCTCGACGGGGCGCACGGAGCCGGCGCGGGGGTCGGCCCGGCCGCGGAGCTTTTTGAACCCGGCCCCCGCGTGTCCCTTCGCCTGGCAAATCCCAAATCGTCTTTAATGACACACAACCACCACCCCAGCCCGGACCGGGGGCTGCGCTGGACTTTTCTCAGCTCGGCTAATATCTTTTTAATGACTTCGGGAGGGGGCAGAGCCCGACTCTGCCCTAGAGCCTGGTTTGCTCCAAACAGATGTTGGGGCAGAGGGAGGGGGATGCTCTTCCCTGCCAGGGACTTTCTTCTAGAGTTCAAACGAGAGGGGAGCTTTCAAATCACCGCTAAAAATGTATTTCTCCCCATTGAACAATGGGCTCCTTTCTGCGTCCAGGGGGACTCGGCTGCGATCGCGTTTCTGCTGCCGGGGAGGAGAAACCTCCGGGTTTAGGGCAGGAAAAAAACTCAGCTCCGAAAAGAGCTCTTCCCTGCGCCGGTTATTTCGTAGCTCCGCATCCCGTCTGCCTTCACCCCCGTCTTAGAGAAAAAAAAAAAAAAATCGTAATAACGAAGAAATAATAATAATTTCGCGGCTGCAGCCGTTCCCCCGCCGCGCACAGGAGCCGCCCGGTGATTTTTGCGGCAAAGCCGGGCAGTTTGCAGGGTTAGAGAAACGAATATCGGCTGCCAGCGGCCCGGGGCAGCGGCGGCTCCGCGCCCCTGCGCGCCCG